GCGATTCACAGATTCATAAATCAGATCATATCAGATAACATGTATGTGTATTTTGGGAAAAAGTTACTTGAGCTCAGTCGATTGCATGCACCACACATTTTTGTATTCGAAAACCCTTTTCTTTAAAAACATTTCCTTTTGAAAGACTTTACCAAACCCTCAGTTTGAGTTCAGACACACCCGATAGTATGTATGAATCCCTCAAACCAAGGCTCTGATACGAACTTGTAACATCCCAAAAATAAGACCCGAAAATCTTTCATTTTTACATTCATAAAATAGTAAACCATATCAATGCCATAAAACCAAGGTAATCAAATTTTATCAATACATCATCATCATCAGAGTAAATCAAAAAATGTGGAATTGAGTGGTGTGTGCTCTGCAATCATCTCGGACTCTTTCTTTTGAAACCGAAAGTACCCGAAACATAAACTGAAAACCGTAAGCACAAGGCTTAGTGAGTTCCCCGGAATACCAAATACCATACATAAATAAACACATAATGGGCCCTGCCCCATTGGTGTACCGGGCCCCCCCCACATTCGCATAACGGGCCCGTCTACTAAGTATAACGGGCCCCGCCTAAACTCGCATAACGGGCCCCGCCCAATGAGTATAATGGGCCCCGCCCAAACTCGCATAACGGGCCCCGCCTAATGAGTATATCGGGACCCTCTGAAACTCGCATAACGGGCCCCGCCCAAATACAAATCTTTTAAGCATAACAGATAATAGCATGTAGAGTAACCATCGGGACCCACCCAGTAAGCATACAAGCACATACACATACAAGAGTCACGTAGACATCTAGTATTCTAGCATAACAGATCATGGGCCAGCATTGGTGCCTTAGACCCGCTAAACCCAGTGAGGAGACTCACCTCGCACGGCTGAATCCCACAGATAAATCTCTGGCTGATGGCCCGCTAAAATCCTCGCGCTATCAACCACAAAATAACATCTAATTCATAATTGGATCCCAACTCACACTAAGACTCTAAACTAGGGTAAAAGACATTTTTACCCTTTACCCAACATGGCCCAGGGCCAAGGCCCAATCCAATTGTCCAAAAAGACCAAATTCCAAAAATAATCACCCACATCCCAAATATTGCCCAATTTTCCAAATTGGGCTGAATCCCTTTCATGTGCCTTCATCCATGAGAGTCCAATAAAATATCAACAGCCCAACAATAGAATCATGATGGCCCAAGAAGTCTCAAGACAACTAAAGTCCAACATGGACCAAAACTGAGAGCCCAAAAGTTTGAAGCCCAATCTGCTAAGTACACGAGGCGTACTCAGATCGTACGCTTAGTTTACACGCTTAAGGGCTTGTACGCATAGCGTACCTGCTTGTACGCCCAGCGTACTCCACCAATTTGGCCAACTTCCAATATGCATCCCTTAATAGGTTAAGGCTTCAACCCAAACTCATATCTGACTCCCTTTAGGTGGTTTATCACGTAATGTTGCCAACTTTACGTGCATAGATGGCTTAATGGGGCTCTAGAGCTTAAAATAGCTTAATAAATGACTTAACACATGCATGAGACCAAACCCACCATAAAGTTTACACCTTTATGATTAAGAAACCCTTAATATGCCCATATCTACAAGGATAAGAGCCATAAACGTCCTTAGCCCACAATACCAACCAAAAAGGAACCAACATAGCCAACAGCAAGCCAAGGAATAGATCTACGAAATGAGATGACAAGCTTTGAACTTTATACCTCAAAAGCCACAAAATAAAGGTGTTAAAGTTGGATCTCTAAGCTCCTCTCCAAAGGATGAGTCTTCAACCTACTCCTTGCCCTTCAAGATGCACAAAACACACCACAAAAGCTTCACAAGAGCTCAAAAGCACCACACAAAGGCTAAGGGACGAATTAGAGTTTTCAAAGGTATGGAGGCTGGTTAAACAAGGCCAAAAGAGACAATCTTATGGCTTATATATGGTACAAGCCCTAAAATTAGGGTTTCCAACTTGCGCACGTACACTAAGCGTACTCCACGTACGCCCATCGTACGTGGATGAGCTCCGCGACTTCCATCTACTAGTATGCTCAGCGTACAAGGAGTACGCCCAACGTACTTCATCTTTCCTGAAGTTGACAATTCTGCCCCCTAGGGAGAAATTCTTCAAACCATTACACCCCAAGTGTCTAAATTGAAAAGTATAATGAACCAAGTGTTACATGATTGATCTAAAAAAGGTATATTTTGGGTCCTAACCTGGGTCCAAATCATATCGCATGTATGATCCGAAGAATCAAAAAATCACGGTGTCACGAGATGTTATTTTTGATGAAAACTCAAGCTACAGTTGGGAAAAAGAAGTCGAGCCTACACTAGAACACGAGATGTTTTGGGTTTATTGGCCATATTTGATCGACGTCGGAAGTAGACCGGTAGCGGGTGAAGCATACGAAGACACAAATGAAACCGGGCAAGGTGAAGAAAGTGAGTCAAGATTATAACTGATGTCACCTACAACAAATACAGAAATGGTTGTACAAGATGAAGTTCCACAAACGAAGGTCGAATCGCCACACAGAACTTCCTAGAAGATATGATGATTTTAAAGCTGACTTTTGCATCGAGAATCATGAGTTACTTTTAGCTCTCAATGAAGGTGAACCTTCAAATTATCATGAAGCCAAGACGAATCCCTTATGGGTGAAAGCAATGAAAGAAGAAATTTACTCTATTAAAAAAATGGAGCTTGGAAACTTTTAAAAATACCATGCAATACAACCATTATATGTTTAAAATGGGTCTATAATATAAAAAGAGATGAAAGCGGCTTAATTAGCAAGTACAAGTCTAGAATTGTAGCAAAAGGGTATCTTCAACAACACGGTATCGATTTCAAATAAGTTTTTACACCGGTAGTGAGAATTGAAACTATCAAATTTTTAATAGCACTAGCTACTTTAAAAGGATGGGAAATTACATCATCTTGATGTGAAATTCGTGTTTCTGCATGGCGAATTACAAGAGGAAGCGTATGTAGAACAACCTGAAGGTTTCAAAAAAATGAAAAAATATAAGAAGAATTTTGTGTTCAATCTCATAAAAGCGTAATATGGTTTACGTCAAGCTCCTCGAACGTGGAACATGAAGTTGGACAGAATTCTCAAAAATATGAAGTTCTAAAGGTGTGTGCAAGAACAAGCAGTATACCGAAGGAAAATAGATTCTGATCTAATGCTAGTTGGAGTGTACATTGATGACTTGGTTGTTACGGGAACAAACATGTTAATTATAAACAAGTTCAAGCAAGCAATGGCAACAAACTTTGATATGAGTGATCTTGGAATGTTGCGATGTTACCTAGGAATAAAGGTGTATCAAAAGAAAGATAGCATACTAATTACGCAAGAAGGGTATAAAAATGTGCTCAAATATGCAGGGATCTATGACTGCAATCCTACTCTAGTTCCAATAGATCCAAATGTGAAATTCTCGAAAGGAGAGGGGGGAAGACACATATGCAACTGAATATCGAATCCTAGTTGGAAGATTGAGATATTTACTTTAAACAAGTGTTGATTTGGTTTCTTCAATTATCATTTCTAGTCGTTATATGCAAACTCCAAAGAAGTAACACATTGTTGCTATGAAACAAATATTACGATATGTAAAAGGTACTATCAAATATGGGATTCGTTACAGTCGCAATAATCTAACAAGTCTAGTTAGGTATTGTGATTGCAGTCACAACATTGATCAAGAAGATGAAAGAAGTACTACCGGGGATGTATTTTACTTTAGTGAATCAGCAATCACGTGGTGTTCTCAAAAACAAGAAACAGTGGCATTATCATCTTGTGAAGCTGAGTATATGGCTGCTTTTGTAACAAGTTGTCAAGCAGTTTGGTTATGAGATCTTTTGGGAGAAATAACAAGCTCTTGAGTACAATAAGTGGTAATTAAAGTTGACAACACATCAATAATTGCAATAATAAAAAACCCAGTTTTCCATGGTCGGAGCAAGCACATCAAATCTCATTTCCACTATATACGAGAATGAGTTGAAGATAAGGAGATCATAGTCGGTCGTGTCAACAAAACGGAACAACGAGCTGACATTTTGACAGAGGCGTTAGCTAAGATAAAGTTCGTTGAAATGCGCAAGATGTTAGGGGTCAAAGACCTCTCAATTTCCATTCGGAAATTAGGGGGTGATTATTGATAATTTCCGGTTTTACCCTTTCCATACACGATGAGGTGTATGAAGGGAACATCCCTCGAGCAACAAGGAAACATAAGATGATGCTTAGGGTTCACGCATATCGTTTTGCCTAGGGAACAAGCATGTATTATATATGGCAAGTTTGTATTCAAGTAGGAAACAAACTAGGATACTATTATCAACTATTTAGATATCGAAACATGTAGGTTTTGATTATCAGATCATAGAGAAAGAAAGAGACGAGAAATTGTAATCCAGTTCTAAGTTATTTTCTAAATTGCAATAAGATATTAATTATTTTATTCTCGTGTTCATATTTTTCAGCTTATCAACTATTCTTTCATAAATCAGGGGAAATTATATACCTAATATATGAAAAGCATGGAGATATTTGGACGTTGGCACATGACGAAACAGATAAACACAATATTAAAGAGAAAAAGAGATGTACATTATTAAATTTGGTTTATATATGTTTCCGGTCCGACCAAGCTTTTCTTGGGTGTGGTGTATCAACAGACACTTTGTTGTGTTAACACATCGTCAATTGTCATTTAACAAACCGTGAAACGTTATCTTTCCATCCAATACTAGGATAACAAAATTTGATGATTTTGTACACCTCTTCGATAGTACCAAGGATCCTTGCATATTTGTATCATTAGGGGTTTCCACACATGGTAACTCCGATACATTAATAATGATAAGGTTATGAAAGTTACAAACCGAAACACAATAGGGAAATGAAGAAAAAAACATCCAAAGAAGTGAATACCCAAATAGTTTAATTCTTGCTTTACACACTCTTGGGTAAGTTTACTTTCCTCAAAATTAAGTGAGCACCATACTGAGGTTGGAGAGTGATGATAGATTGAGGGGCATGTGAATAAGATGGTGACAGCACGAAAGAAAATCGTTGTAGAATTATAGCCATTGCGATTTTGGCTTCCAACATAGCAAAGTTCTGTCCAATACATATACGAGGTCCCCCACCGAATGGGAAATAGGAATGTTGTCCCCTAGTTGTTGCATTGGAGACACCTTGAGAGAATCTTTGTGGGTTGAATTCCATGGCATCATCGCCCCATGTTTCTTGATCATGGTGCAATGCTAATATCGGCATTATGACCAGTGTTTCTTCAGGAATATTTATGCCAGCTACCTTGGTTTCCTTGATGCACATTCGATACAATGCTGTCACTCCTGGGTACAACCTTAGAACCTCGAGCAATATCATATTTACCTTAAAAAAACAAAATTTATGAAAATATGACATTTCATTTCGTTAAGAAAACAATCCAAATGATGAGAAATGTGAACTAACAATTTTGAGGCGGCTCAGTCCATCAATATTTGGTTGGTTATGTGCAAAAACTTGAAAAACTTCTTCTCTTGCAAGCTCTTGCCAATGTGGATATCTGCTCAATAAAATCATGGTCCATACAAGTAAATTACCCACAGTTTCATGGCCTGCAAAGTAGAAAAGTTTACACTCTTCGATGATTTCATCAATGCTCATTCCAAATTTTTTGTTTCCAGTTTCCTGAATCTCATTGTAGTTCGACTGTAGCAATATGCCTAATAAGTCATCGTGCATGCTTTGTCCTGCTTCCATTGCAATTGTTCGTTTATGGATCACACCCTTTATCAAAGTCTTCACTTCATGATCGATCTCCTCCATTCTTTTGCTCCTTGAGTTTGGAAAGAATCTAGGTAATCCAGATTTTAGCTCAATGATTGTAAAGTCATAATTTATGGGTGCTGTTATTATTATTATTATTATTATTATTATTATTATTGCTATTATAGTATTATAGTATTTAGCTATTTATACATACATACATTTAAAAAAATATATATTGAATTTACGTGATAATATCTACCTTGATCCAGGGATGTATAAAGATTGTATCACATGCATAAGTATGGACCCATTTTCATTCTGAAGGTCAAAAATCCTTACACCTTCCTCATAACTACTACCAAATGCAGTACGTGAAATTACATCGCCAGATAATGTTTGAAGATGGGGAAAAACATCCAACTCCAGTGATTGTTCATTCGAAAACAAGGTCTCCCACCTCTTTATCATCTCACAACAACTTAAGTTCATAGCCGGTGCCATCAACTGCATCCAAGAAATTTAAACACAAATCATGGTCACACTTTTAGAACTCAACAGATCAACTTTAATATTAGATAAATTGAATCTTTCTCCAAATAAACCCTTGTGAGAAGAGAGATGACACTCCATCATATATGGATGTAGTTAGAACAGTGTAGCCAATGTGGGACTCCAACATTCAAAATGGTCATGTCTGAGTCAAACCTTTAATTTCTCGGCATGGAAAGCAGGATTGATGATTTTTCTATGTTTAGACCATTTCTCTCCCTCATAATCTATTACACCTGTTGATAGTATCTTAATATATGGATTGTTTTTCCTAGGCTTTTGAAATTCATTCATGCGGGATAAGACGTCCCTTACGACCTCTGGATTGATGATATGTAATGTTGGTATGGGTCCCAACCATGCAAAGAAAATCTTACCTACAAAACAAGTAAACCCCAATAAAGATCATGATGTATGTGTATGTATGTATGTATGTTTGTATGTATTTGTGTGTGTTGAAGCACCATAGGTTTGAATTGCCCTATGAACAAAGGGCATCACTCTAGGCATGATATCATCAGAAAGATTCATGGGCTCTAGCTTTGTTGTCTGCATGATCTCTTTTGTATCTCCAAAGAGTAGCTTGTAGGAGGTGCCTGTGAGACCTTGCTGCCTTAGGAATTTTTCAAGCCTTTTTGGTTTGAACCATACCCACTCCAACATTTTCCATGGCACCACCATTGCCATAGCCACAGCACACCAGCTTGCTACCCACCGGTATTGGCTCATTATTTCCATATAAGAAACTAAGAGAGACAGGGATTGTAATTATGCTGTACTAATATTTTTTGATCATCAATTTGAGTTGATATTATAGTAAACTCAATGCATTGCTATTATCAACGGAATAGAGCATCTTTAGAAGCAAGAAAATTCAAATAATGTGTAGACATATAAGTCCAAAAACGGATATTCCTAGGTAGAATATCAATAGCGTTATTATTATGGAGAACTTTGTTGGGCTAATTTTAGTTGAGCCAGATCGAACTAAGTACAAGTTACAATGTTTCTGGGAAAAGACAACTTTAGAAATAATAAAAATTTAACTATCTATTCCCGTTGGATATGGAAGACGGGGTCCTGTAACTGTAATAAAATTCCACACTCTAACTTGACATGGCATTGAAGTGTTAATTGGGGTGCACCGAATGGATTCGGGATGGCTCGGGAAGGGGTGACAGGTTGCCGGTACCAATGAAGTAGAACCTAGAACGGGTTGTTCACCCCCGGCACCCCTCTGTCTTTGTATTCTTCTTTTGTTGCCAACGGCTACTTCATCCCCAATGGCTCTTTATTTAATTATTTAAAAAAGTTTATAAATATCAATTCCATCTTCTCATTTTTTTCACACCAATTTCCACTACATTCTTATTCCAAATTGATTGAAATTGCGGCAAGGCTAAAACAAACGGGTTCAAACTGAAGGAAAATTAACGCTACGAGTTAACAAGATCCACCAAATCCTAACACTCAATTTCCACAATATCCAATCCAATTCTCGTAATCGCTGCAATTTTCAATACAACATTCATACAATAAAATCTACCATCCATCCCAAGCCCAAGAGTCTAATGAGGAAATCTAAGAAACTCAATCCAACCTAACCTACACACCGAAAAAGAACCTGATAAGGTGGAAGTGTAAGAGAATAAATTGCGTGATTAATAGTGAGGTTAAACCTCATATAAATTGAGATATAAAAGTCGCCTAACCTAAACCCTCAAGCGCTTGGGCCTAAACCCTAATCACTAACATGTGGTGCAGTTTGATCAGGAGGAGACGATTAAACCGAATGAAAAAAACATACATGTAGAGAGCGGGCAGCGGTGGTGGCAGAGCTCTAACGATAGCGGCTAACAACCTCTCATCGGAGAAGAAGAGAGAAGAAGTGACGGCTAAAGGCGGTTCCGTTGTACAAGAAAAAGAGAGTCGGTGACGGCTTAGGAGTCTGAGTTGCAGATGGAAGGCTCGAAGGCAAAGGTCATTCGAGGAGGAGATAGAAGGCTCGGAGGCACGACCATCCGAGGAAGAAGACGAGAAAGTAGAAGAAGCCAAGGAAGGAGCTTTGTTTTGTAGCAGACGGTTGTATTATAATTTAGGAGGAGAAAGACAAAAGGGAAAAATATTGAATCTAGTTAAGGCACCTCTAAAGACTATTAGAGAAGGTCGTCGGAGGTGGAGGACGGAGGCTACGAATTGTGGTCAGCGGTAAGGTTTTAACTTGTAGCTCTGATACCTTGTAAGACAGTGACTTTCTGATTACTCAAAAGACAATTACATAGGAACATATAGAGAATACCTAAACCCTAAGAGGCTTGGGCCGAAACTCTAATCACTAACAGGAAGGCAAAACCATGGAGCAGCATGTAATGTCTCATTTTCACAACCAAATTTTTGTTTTTTTTAAATAAGGTAAAACGTCATTTTCATAAAAACTCAAGTTAAGAAAACTCATTTGTTCGAAATACAACTATATGAAAAGTCAGAATGATATAATAAATGTGGATCTCCAATGCTACTGATGAATGTGTACAGTCATGCATTCGTCTTCCCACGATCATTAATAGTACCTGAAAAAACATTTAACCCACAACTGTAAGTCAAAGTTTAGTAAGTTTCCCCAAAATACCACACACCACAATATACATACAAGCATACACACATCAGCCTTCAGTCCTAGACTGGCCCTCCTGCCACGCCTACAACATAAAACTGGGCCGCACCTAGCCTATAGCACATCGCTACCCCCCCCCCCTCCCCCTCGGGGGGTATCTTGGCCTACCGCATAGAGCAGGAACGCCTCAACCCACCACAAGATATGTCGACATAAATAGAAAACAAACCATCTAACAGGAAAATCAACACAGGAAACTGTCTACACTAGTCTAACTGTCTAACAGCCCACTACCGCATACAGGGTCTCATATAGTACACTATGCCACAACTGGCAGATCACCAATAAATACATAGATATATATAATCAGAGGTGAGATAGACAGTCAAACAGATGATCACACTCTAGAGCCACAATCAAACAAGGAACATGCAAGAAAGCCTAGATCAAGAGTTCTCATGCTATCATACATGACTACATACAACCCCTAAGGAACTCCACTGGACAATCATCGACCTACTGATACTTTAACCAGTATATCACTACCTCTTATATCCTACCATGCAAGGATATACTTTGAAGCACATATTATAGTAAGGAAACTCACCTGAATCAAAGAACCGAAGTACAACAAGACTCTCAACTGATTGCACAAATCGAACCCACGAACGGACTAATCACTAAATAAAGATCAACCCTCAATCAACTATATGAATCCCTCAAGTTTCACCCAAGGTCGAACCGGTCAAAAGTCAACGGTCAAGTCAAAGTCAACCCAACTGACCGCCACATTGTGGTCGAGCATATGCCACATCGTGGTAGCCTCATGACAAAACAGTCGCAAGAATGCTTATCACCACATCGTGGTGATCAAACCACCACGTCGTGACATCTGTTCTAGCCACCTAAATGGATTAATTTCTTAATCCCTTAAGCCACTTATCCATACTTTCCAGGAGCATTTCTTACACCCAAATACATCTTAAAAATCTTCGCTTTATGGACATGCATGTCCAATGCATGTCTTCTCTAAGCTAGGTCAAAAATGAAAGAATTGAGCTTAAAACTCATGCATGAAAGTAAGGACTCCATAGAACATTAGATATGGAACATATAACCACAAATGGACCTCAAGGATCCATAAATTTGCCAAGTTTATGGAATCCATCCACTCAACCCACCTTAAACATGGAGAAAAGTGCTTAAAATCCTAGATCTAGAAAGGTTACTATAACGTTCCAAAATTTTAAAGCCAAACATTTTCGTTTTCATATTACAAAAACCATCAACCAAACATGTTTATAAAGCCATAAAGGAAAATCAGAGTATGTCAAACAATCATCCCACAACACATCAGAGTCAAATAAGTGAAAAGTCATGGTGTGTGCGTTGCAATCATCCCGAGCTCTTCCCCTTCGTTCCAGAAGTACCTGAAACATAAACTGAAAACCGTAATCATGAATCTTAGTGAGTTCCCCAAAGTACTGCATACCATACATATATGCTAGCGTAAGGTTGTGTCGGGTCTATTTCACCCCCGGGTCTATTTCATCCTCGTGTATTTCAACTCATATGCCAGCTTAAGGTTGTTTCGGGTCTATTTCACCCCCGAGCCTATTTCAACTCATATGTCAGCACAAGGTTGTACCGTGTCTATTTCACCCCACATACATATAGCTGTTGGATTAGGTGTCTAAGCCCATAACTATTTTGGTATGTACTTGACCCGATTGTGAGCATGGTCCTTTTGGGTTGCCTTCACCATAGCAACTGATAGGATGAATTAAGGAGAAAAAGGATTAATTATGATTTATTAATATATTATATGAATAATATATTAAAAGAGAAATCATATTGTTTAATTAATATTAGTCAAGAATTAATAAGAATTAATTATGTGGCTAGAAGAGATTAATTAAACTTGGGGGACTGATATTGTAATTATACGATAATTGAATAAATGGGCTAATGGACTCCATGGAAGTTGGAGTGGACGAAATCTATGGGAAACCCATTAGAATTCGTCCAAGGCTACTAAGGAGGGAGTCCATGGGCTGCTTGGAGCTTAAGCAGTCAAATTAGGGTTTCCTTGTTTGATAACCCTAATAGCCTAACTATATAAGGAACCCCTAAGGCCCCAAAAACGTGGCTAAGTGATTCCTGAGGGTTCTTGGACGTTTTTGTGCCTTCTCCTACTTCTCCTTGTTCATCTTGTTGCTCATGGTGTTTGTGAATCCATTAGAGGTGCAACATTTGAGGCACTAAGCTTTCAAAGGTTAAGATCAAGAGGATTTGAGATTGCTATTGCTACATAACAATCAAGGTAACATCTATACCCTTTTATTATAATAATATCGATTATTGTATGTTAGAATTAGGGTTTATGAGCTTTGGATGATTATTGCATGTTCATTAGACAAACTAGATCCAAAAGCTTTAGGGTTTGCATGTACACCATAGGACTGATGTAGTGCTCATAACCCATCAGTGGTATCAGAGCCTAGGTTGTTTATCTAATGTATTTGATGCTATGTTTGATCAATCAAAGATGAAAAAAAATTTGTTTTTTGGGTTCTGACCAGGCTCACGACGTGAGCACTGTGCTCACGACGTGAGCTCAGTTCTAACAGCTAATCTCGAAATTTTTGCCATATTTTGATTTGGATAATTACCATAAATTGTTTTTCCATATAAAATCCGATTTTTTTTATTATGGTATTGATTATCCTAATCCAAATAATAGATAATTGTCAAAATTAAGATAATTATTTGTTTTATAAGATGAAGATTAATTATTTGTAGTTTTGATTTGTATTATCTTGTAAGGAAATTTAATTAGGTCAAATTTAGATAATCACTAATTATTTGATTAATTGAATTATTTGTCATTTGATCTAGGAAGTTTTGAAAAGTTTCAAAACTTGCACTCAAGTTTTGGAATTTAATTTTTTTGATTAAAAGTTTAGACAAAAATGCAAAAATGGTCCCTGTGGTTTGTCATTTTTTGTGGATATGGTACAAACCTTTTGAAAATTGGATTTTTGGTCCTTATTGAGAGGTTTGTGTGTGGAACAGGTCCCTGAAGTTAACCACCGTTTGTTTTTGGCTGTTAAAC